TATGTATGTATGTATGTATGTATGTATGTATGTATGTATGTATGTATATACGTATGTATGTAACTAACGTATGCATGTATGTATGTATGTATGTGTGTATGTATGTATGTCTGTCTGTCTGTATGTATGTATGTATGTATGGTTTGTATGGTGTGTATGGTTTGTATGGTGTGTATGTATGGTTTGTATTTTATGTTATGTATGTAAGGTATGTAATTATGTAATGTCTGTAATGTATGTTGTAACGTATGTAATCTGTGTATGGTACGGTATGGTATGGTCGGTATGTATGCATGTTTGTTTGTTTTGTGCGCTCTCTCTCTCTCTCTTTGCAGCGTCTGGCTACAACGCAGCCGTCCCACAGGGACGGTGTTTGTATTGCGCTGTGCTGCATTGTGTTATATTACTGTATGTGATGTAAGACCCAGGGAAAATTCTTCTCAAATGCATCATGCTACTGAGCATCTGAGCTGAGCATGTCCGGACGGCCTTGCCCTCCCATGGGCTCGCTATTACAGACGCTGTCTCCCTTGCCACTAACTGAGATTTGGGCCTCACAAAACATCGCCCGGCGCTCGCCATGTTCAGAAATGTTCAGGCTGCGTACACTGCAAGCAGTGGAAACCAATCGGCAACTTTGTGTAAAGACATGGAAAGTCAGGATGGTGGAAGCAAGGCCTTCAGCTTGCAACAAATCTGAACATGTTGTATTTATTCTTGGCCTTGGAGGAATGCTTAGCGATTTGACATTCGATGACATTCATGGCTCTGTCTAAGGTCCAGGTCACATACATCCAACAAACAAGATTTGAATGATCTATATAAATCTGCATCCGACATGTTGCATCACGTATATAGCTCCTGTTCTCACACACCAGCAAACACAACATCGATGCCTTTTGCAATGTGAGAGATCTCTAGAAATCGGCATGGCTCTGATGAGCCACGAAGCAAGAACAGGCCCTTGGCATTCAACTGGACTGCGTCCATCGAATGCCCGATTCCTGTTCCTTGCCCTGACCCAATGCAACAGGTGCTAAAAGTAACAATGTCTTCCCGCAAATGCTCTGGCGGTAAGTCATTAACGGGCCTTGCGGCCATAATTAAAAGGCTCCCGCCAAGTGGAACACAAAGAGAATGCAACACAAAGAGGGCACACCCTAAAGCACGCCTCGTGCACCCTGTATATATAATTAGCTTTAGGATGTGGATCAAATCAAGCCAACAAAAAACATAGCCATGATATAATATGATATAATTTAGATAACAAATGATGCACACTTGATACTGCTGTTCCATCATACTAAGACCACTGACCACTTGGCAGGCTGATTGATTCCCGGTGCACTACGTGCACACTGCCGAATATGTTATAATACATGTGAAACATCAAGCAAAACCGCAAAAGCTCGGCTGGCACTGCCATATCAGTGTCAGGCCGTCAGCTTTCAAGGCTTCGATGGCAGTAGCAACGATTGCGGGTAGGAAGCATAGGATTGGGTGGGCAATTTCGGCCAAGAAGTCGGTGCAAGTTCCTTCAACTTTGAATGCCCGAATTTTCTGTTGCACATGTCAGAAATCCAACTGAATGCTAAAACAAGTGGAGACCAGGGAAGGTGAGAAGGGAATACTAAACAGGCAGTTCATGGCGTTTCGGCTCGTGGGGTCCTTCGTGGAGGACTTGCCCTTGGACATTTGCTCCTGGTGTACCTGCCACAAAAGCAACCAAGTACTTTGGTGGCCAGATTCCCGGGCATAGTCTAAGGCGCTCTTGCCAGTGTCATCTGCCTCAAGCAGCCAAAGGGAAAGTGAGCAATTGATAGCAATGGAAATCTACGAACGTCGATTCAGAAGTACCCTCTGCCAGCAGCCTTTGGAACGATTCGCCTGAATTCTATTCTATTGAATACTATGTGTCGCCTCCCAAGTTCGGGTTCCAAAAAGTTCTCGCCGGGGCGGGAGCTGCGAATGACTGTGTGGATGTTCAAGGCACGCATCCTATCACAGGAAGCCAGAAGCCCGACCTGTTTTTTTCGTGTTTTCTTCTATATGGATGTATTCTCAGTGTGCTTCAGCAAAAAGAGTCACGGCATCATTGAAACAACATCATCATACTGCGAAACGAAAACCTCCCCAACCCAACTCCTCCTCCCACCCCCTGCACATGCGGAAGCATCTGGTTTCAGCAGCTTGATGCATGCAGCAAATCATTTTTGTCTATTACAGTATATACATGATTCAGCTATGGCTATGTCCGCAAAAGGTGACCACCATTGTAGACAATTCCAATACTCTAAATAATATGTAATTTACAATAACTGCAACATGCGAGAATGATGGTGCACACGAATCCTATATTATATATCCTCCTGTCCTATCAAGTACAAACGGTTTGCACTCACGACTACGCGTTCGGTGTTCACACTGTTGGCAAAAACGTGCCCATGGCAAATGACTTCACATCACGCTTCATTGCGTCCATGGCGCTTGCGCTGGATCTGCATTGTCTCGCAGCAATCGAGCGCACAGGACTTGTCGACCCTCAGCAGCTGCCCAATGGAGAGCAGTCCAGTCATTTTGCCCGCCGTGCATCGCCTTCGTGCCCGTCGTTCGATGTGCTTCTTTTTATTGAGGGCGGGTAGGCCGCTAGTAGAGGTAGGTAGCTAGTAGGGAGAGGTAGCTAGTACCTGCACAAGTAAGCTACTAGTATGGATGCAGGATAGCTCACGCTTCTTCAAGGAAGCTACCCAGCTTCCTTGAAGGAGTGCTCGCACTATTAAATTCATTGGGTTCCTAGATTTTTAGGAAAACTAACTATCAGGAAAATGTAATCGAAGTCGACGACGACTAAATACAACTAATGACCTAGTGACTAAGGCAAATGTGGACTTCGGCTGAAAACCCTTTGCGGCACCTGGTTGGTAACAATAGTATACAGTAATATCAATGAATTGAAATTACTTACTGTAATAGCATCTTATAGCCCCAGTTGTCTGACAATCGCTTCTTCCCTTGAAGAACAATACGCAGGAACCGCTGTGAGTTCTGTCTGCTGCAAAGTGCAGGGAGGGGCCCATCCACATTGACGTGGACAATCCTCAATGCGAGGGACAACAATTATGTAGATCACCTTGTCCTTGCAAACGCCCCCTGGGCCCCCCTAATGCGTTTTAACATGTTCCTCAACTTAAATGATATTGCATGAGACACCCCCACACAAGAACAAAGGTTTGAAGCCATTAAGAACACAAAACGGGAGCCGCCGTTTGCTAGTGGCACTCCCAGCATGTATTGGGAATAGAATAGGGTCAGTGTTTTACACATACCATTGCTATCATCTGTTTACGCAAACTTGTATAGCATTTGGGCCGCTCTTGGGCTTGCACCTGAGAGGTGAGAAGTGCATTTTTGGGGTACAGTATCCCAGCACCCATTCGGAGCAGCCTGCAAAAGCGAGCGAACAACATCAACGTATACAAATACAGCAAAAACACTGCTTTGTAGGCGGGCCGGTTTCTGTAATCTCCACCTCCAAGAAACTTCTACAACCTTGAGGTGATCTGTTTGTAAACGATTCAGGGTAGTGACACTGGCTCTTGCAAACAAAGCCCGGACACAACGTGCAAGCACTACTACGCTAGAAGTAGAACTAGAACACATTATGCAATTTGTATCAAAAGCACCCAGACCCAGCACCCTGAAGTTCTGAAGGAAAACGAAACCAGCTGACTAGTTCAAACCTGATAGAACCCACGAACCCGAATGCAGTCACTTTGTAAAGAAGCGTAGCACTCAAAGCGTTCTTGTTTGGACACTCTTGCTGGACACCCTTGCTTCACACTCTTGCTGGACACTCTTGACACGACACTCTTGCTTGACACTCTTTCTTGACACTCTTTGCTAGACAATCTTTCTTGATACTTTCTCTTGACACTCTTGCTGGACACTCTTGCCTGACAGTCTCTCTTGACACTCTTTGCTGGACAATCTTTCTTGACACTCTTTGCTGGACACTCTTTGCTAGACACTCTTGCTTGACACTCTTACTTGGCACTCTTTGCTAGACACTCTTGCTTGACACTCGGCTAGACACTCTTGCTGGACACTCTTTGCTAGACACTCTTGCTGGACACTCTTGAAATGACATTCTGCTAGACACTCTTGCTAGACACTCTTTCTTGACACTCTTTGCTAGACATTTTGCTAGACACTCTTGCTTGACACTCTTGCTGGGCACTCTTTGCTAGGCACTCTTGCTGGACACTCTTCCAGGACACTCTGCTAGACACTCTTGCTGGACATAAGCTTGCAAAACCAACATTTCCCACGAGACTTTCACCAAAAGTGACAATCCAAGCTTCCAAAACGAGCATTTTCCACGAGACTTTCACCACAGGTGACAAGCAAAGCTTCCAAAATGAGCATTTTCCACGAGACTTTCACCAAGAGTGACATGCAAAGCTTCCAAAATCACAGCAACGTTCACCTCTACCACAACTCTCACAACCTCACGATTCCCTGCGCCTGCCACGAAATGTCACCTCCGTCACACATCGCAACCTCACGATTCCCTGCGCCTGCCACGAAAATCGCACTTCCACATCTAAAAAAACCCGCACAAAGTACTGCGCCTGCCACGAAAAGTGACAATATCATCTCATGTGAGCTTCAAAAAAATTGCACCACACCACACGTTTAGAATGATTTCGACCCGTTCTGAGCACCCGCGCATCCACCAAAATCGCCATTTCAGCTGAGACTTGTCACGAAAACAGAGCTTCGATACCACACCCTGAAACGCAAATCTCAATGGCACGGCTGCATCCAACACCCCAAAAACACGACTCTCCAAACGCTAATCCCTTTGGAATACCCACGCAAACGTGTCACTTTCACGAAACCCTGCGCCTGTGCAGCGAAATGCCTCACGTTTCTTGCGCGACATGTCACTTTCATGCAAATCACAATGTAATAGCGGCGCGAACTGACGCGTGACAGATCCATGAAAAGTCACTTGCAAAAGCTTCCCCCAATGGCAGGGCCATAGAGACATCATACGGACGGTTGCAAACGGTTGCGAACTCGAAAACAACGTCGGGCAAACGCAACTCTACCCTCAGACTCCCAAGTTAAACAAGAACCCTTCGCTACGCATTCGGGAAAAAAACGTCTTGTGTTGCAAACATCCAGTCCTGCCATCCGTAGTTCTCTACCGCTTCCACACTCGCCGCAATCACTGGTGGAATTGGGGGCAATCCTTGCTTCTCCTGTGCCGAAATGTCACAAATATCAATTTAGCGCTACAATGGCATCACGTGCTCACCATCACCTTTGCCTTCAGAAGCTGGTCAGCCTTTTCCGTGCATGCGCATAGAAGCTCCAACACCTTCAAGCGCAAACTCAGGGAACAAAGGCTTTTGGGCCTGTTGACATGCAAGTGAAATCGCACAGGGATCTGCGTATCATGGCGACTTGTATCAAATGTTGCACGTCTGAAAAGAATGCATATCATACCCCGGGCCTCATTCTCACCAGCTTGCTCAGCGCAGAATATGGGAGTCCAGCCGCGCTCGTCCTGAAAGGATACAGATTGGAAAGTCCCGATGTCGGGAAAATGCCGTAAAATGACTACTAGATGACTTGACTTCAAAGGAGACTCACTCACAGTCCCGCAGAGCCTCACACAAAGGGTTGGCACCAGCAGCTACCAGTCGGCGACAAACGTCCAAACGACCTGACGGATTGCTTGCCTTGGATTTCATGTGCAACATTGGGCTCTTTTCGAGGTCTCATGTCCATGTGACAGGACAAATTTCAATACAAACTCGCCCCACGCCAAAAAAACAAAAACAAAACAAAAACACTCCCAGCTCCATCCTCCTTGACTACACTACAATTAATCTGCTGAGAAAGGCAAGGGGCGTCGGGGGTCAGGTTTAACTTTCGAGGCTGACAGCGTGGGCGGAATGTTGGGTGAGCTCTGTAGGTGCGGGAGGGCGATCAAAGCAGGGAGCGTCGCAAGCGACGAGTGCAGGTCTTTGGCGCTTTTCCAATTGGTTTCTCGATTGTTCCCCAAACCGTTGTTAAGGCCGGGGGTCTGATCGGAGGATCGCGCACCCGCGTTCAGCTCTAATTCGCTGCAATTTACAATGCGTTCATTTACCTCGAGATAATCTTCGAAGTGCATTTCGACTGCGTAAATTCGCAGAAATTGGTGGGCCCGCGCTCTTCTCGACTGTGCTCTTGCTGTGGCGCCGCGCCATTTTCGGATTTGGTGGCCACTTTTCGTGGCAGGCGCAAAGGAAACCTCGCGCAGCGCTGAGGAGTTTGAAGTGCAGATTTCGTGGCCCCTCACCATGCGGACCTTGAGGGCAGATTTCGTGGCAAGCGCAGCACTTTACCTTGAAGTGCAGCTGTCGCGGCTGGGGCAGCCCTTCGGCCTTGAAGTGAAGATCTTGCGGCGGGTGGTGTGAACCTTAAAGCGTAAGATTCCGTGGCGCTTTGTGAACCTTGGAGTGTAGATTTCGCTGGAGGCAACAATGCAGACCCAGACCCAGACCCCAACCCCACCCAACCCCACCCAACCCCACCCAACCCCACCCACCCACCACCAGCCACCACCAGCCACCACCACCACCAGCCACCAGCCACCAGCACCAGCACCACCGCCGCCGCCGCCGCCACCGCCACCGCCACCCCCACCACCACCGCCACCTCTCAATGAAGCCCAATATGTATCAATATGTGTTTTGTGTGGGATATGTAGGGCTTGCGACGTTTGACGTTTGCGGACGCTGTTTTTGCCAGGTGAGCGGTGGTCAAAACCCTTTGGTCTTGGCCTTGTTTTTTGTTTGCTTACGCGTCGGCTTCCGCCATTGTTACGCCTACCAATGTTTTCGCTTACCCGCTGATGTTTTTCTGTTAGGTCCTATACGGGTTTCTTATGCGGCGCCTTACGCTTTACCACCAGAGCGGTTGAAGCACTCTTGTTTGGCACTTTGAACTCTTGTATGGTTCACTGGGTGGAGCCCACTGCTTCTTATCAGCAATGGGACCAAGCAGGTGGAGCGAGGGCGACGCTACGTGCTTGAAAATTGCTTTTCCCACGCAGCTGCTTGCCTGCTTTGCTTCTTTAGAAGAACTTTGGTGGACAAAAGAAGAACAAGGGCTTAGGACCCCAACCCTTTTCTGCTCGCAGTGTTTCTCAGCAACAACCTATACAGAATAGATCAGAATAGATTGGCCGCGTAACTATAGCTCAAAAATTGCTTGCGCGCCTCTTACGCATCGAGCGTCCTGAGTCCAAACCTTGGCTTCCACCAAATCTTACGCGACTCTTGCGCCGTGCAGGCTTTAGCTTTAGCTTACACAACAGCTTTGCAGTTTAATCGGGCCACGTGGTTCTTTCATAGAAGTTTTGAACGCTGCTCAGGTTTCTGCTCGGGACATGCTTTCGATAAGGGGTCCTCAGTTCTTAAAGTGAGAAATCAATTCAAAGGACGCGCACCCTGGGGCATCTTCTTCAAGAGATGGGCCCTGTCCTTTTCCCTCTCAACAACTCCAGGTCCATGCTCTGCGCTGCTTTTCGCTGTGAATGTTCTGCTGGAAGCACGAAACATGTCACAAAATTAGCGCGTTCAGCGTTCCTTGGTTTTACTATGTTTTACTATATATTCGCATCGCGGCCTCTGTGGGCTTTGGGGCAAGTTGCGTTCTAGGGCCACTTTAGGCGCCCGGGATCTATAATAAGGCGCAGATTGCATAAAGTGGTGCATTGCTGCAAAGATGCTGCCAGCGCAGCTGACCACTGGGGTGAGCACGGGGCAGAGGCAACATGTCAGATGTGCATGTAGCATGTGAAAAGGTTTTCTGAAGCTTTCAGCCGACAGTGTAAATAACAAGGGCGCATTCCAGGTGTGTAAGTAGCATAGAAGCCATATGAAGCCATGCAGCGTGCCGCAGATGCTTACTTGGCAGCCTTCGATGGAATCGATGGGGAGCGCGCAGGCCACATCTCACAGACTGGTTGGTGCTGGGCGCAGGTGGCAGGTGGTGTGTAGCGCCGTGCTCTGTTCACCGCTCGTTGCAGGTTGGACATAGACAACCCCCTTCTCGATTGCGCAACCGTACGCGAGGCCATAGGATGCATTCAGAATTGGAACAACCTGCAAGGCAAGGGCTGTCTTACTTTCTTCTTATTCACCGTTAAAATACATGATTCATGATGGCTTCTTAATAAATGAATGGTGAGTGGATGATAGAACAATAGAGAAGAAAACAAACAAATAACTCATACAATAATACATATTGTTCAAATTGTGCTCTTATTATGATGAATTTTTGTGAATCTATATATCTCTGTATCGTCTTAATGACAAAGTGATAAGTGTTAACACCCAGAAAACCTGAGACTGAAAAAGAGTTCTTGTATATGACCAATAAAGCTAATCAGGATGGGTGCGTATTTTGCTCATTTTTGTTTGGCGCCTCGGAACAGTTTTATCTGTGAATGGGCTGAGCCCTATGAATTGTGCATGGTGGGCGCCGTTGGAGGCCCGACCCGGCCTTTCGAAGCGCTGACCTTGCCGCCGTTTGATATTTTGCGGGGGTACATACCCGGGCGTGTTCAAATGAATAGCTGGTGCATCCCCGTAAGAATTTTATCCATAAAATCTGTCCGCCCAGGCTCCTGCGTAAAAGGGCTCTATGAACAACATGGCTTTGTTGAAGATACTCCCTCCAAAAGTCGAAGTGTCAATTTATGGACAGTATTTTCCCCACCCGTAGGACTGTGGGGTTGTTAGATTTTTAGAACTTTGGACTTCAGTACGCCCGGTAGCCCAACTTAGCTCTTCCGCAGCACACTGGCCAAAGTGACCCCTGAGTAGCGCAACTAGCTCTTCCACAGCACACTGGCCAAAGTGATCCCTGAGTAGCGCAACTTAACTCTTCCACAGCACACTGGCCAAAGTGATCCCTGAGTAGCGCAACTTAGTTCTTCCACAGCACACTGGCCAAAG